AAAAAAAAAAAAAAGAAAAAAAAGCTAAAAATAAACTAACTGTTCTCCTCTGACCTAAAATTAGCTATAATTCAGTGCTTTGAAACTCCTAATTAGTGGTGGCACATCCTTTTAATCCCAACACTTGGGAGGCAGAGGTAGGGGATCTCTCAGTTCGAGGCCCTCCTGGTGTAAAGAGTTATAGGACAGCCAGGGCTATACAAAGAAAACCTGTCTTGAAAAATAAAAACCAAAAAACAACAACAAAAAGAGAAATATTATTTATTTACTGTCAAGAGAGAGAGTTTAGGTCAGCCTGGTCTACAGAGTAAGTTCCAGCACAGCCAGGACTACACAGAGAAACCTTGTCTCAAAAAAGCCAAAAAACCCAAACAAACAAAAAACAAAACAAAACAACAACAAAAACTGCAAAACAAATCAAAATCATAAGTACATAGAAACAAAACGCCAACCAAATGTAATCTCTTAAGTAAAAAAATAAATTGTAAGCCAGGTGATGGTGCTGTACACCTTTAATTCCAGCACTTGGGAAGCAAAGGCAGGCAGATCTGAATTGAAGGCTAGCCTGGTTTACAAAGTGAGTTCTGGGATGGCCAGAGAAACCCTGTCTTGAAAAACCAAACAGTAATTCTAGTTTTCTTTAGAAGATCTTAATAGAAACCCAGGTAACTACCAGCATAATGGCACACATCTGTAATTCCAGTACTCAGTACTACGGCAGGAGGACTGCAACTGAGGCCACCCTGGGTTACACAGTAACCCCTTATCGAAAGCAAAAACCCAAACTCAAATCTGAACATGACAATGAAAACGAATCAACCCACCAACCAACCTACCAACCAAAAAAAAAAAAAAAAAAAAAAAAATCAAACTTACTTGCCCACTGGTTCCTTGCGGCAGCTCTTTTGATGTCTGTAATGTTTGAAATTTTATGTTCCATATGGAGAGACATTCTACAATGTAAGTTACAAAAGTTCAGAAACAGACCTAAATAGAAACACATGATATCCTGGAGTGAAGGATGGAGGCAGAGGTAAATACACAAGTTTGCTTTATGTTTAAAAATGAGTGACTGCCACAGGAATTCAAACAAATGAGGCACAGGGTAGGTAGGAAGTAGAGTGGAAAAGTCCTAGGGAAGGTTAAAATAGAAAGAAATGCCTAGGACCAGATGACCTCACCACTGAATTCTACCAATTATAAATCAGCACCAAACTCTCTTAGAATAGAGAAGAAATATGTCCCCACCCTCCATTAAGTCAGTATTACCCTGAGACTAAAGCCAAAGCCAAGACATTCATACAGGCACACACAGGCACACACAGGCACACACAGGCACTAATAAATAACGCTTAGCAAAGCTGCAGGGATAAGAGTAACACAGAACCAGTTGTGTTTCTACAGCCTAGAAAGGAAAACTCTGAAAAGGAAACAACATTTATATTAGCATCTAAAAGAAGAATTTAACCAAGGAAGGAATGACTGAAGGTACCAAGTACAAAATACTGCTAGCAGAAATTTAAAAAAAAACCTAAACAGATGGGAATTCATGAATTTAAAGATGGCACTGGGCATGGTGGCACACACCTGTAATCCCAGTGCTTGGAAAACTGGGGTAGGAGGATCTTGGGATCAAGGCCAGCCTGAGCTACATAGTGAGAGTCTGCTGAAAACAAAGAGAAATGATGGAGACTGAAGGCTAAAAGCGAAGTTTGATTCTTAGGTGATTTCAGTTACCCTTAGAAGTTGGAAGTGGAGGTCCCAGGACTGCTATGTGGTCTTGATCCAGGATGGTGATGGCAGTACCATTTCGAGCACCAGCAGACACAATTGCCTTGAGCATCAATGCTCTAACTAACCTCTGACTCTTTTCAGTGTCACTTGAATATATTGGTATCAAGGTTTCATATATACACCCATCGGAACCTGTTGGGAGCAGGAATTTGTTGTTTAGAAATGATAAAAGGACAGTCTGTATCTGCTGTAGTTAAATGTTTTAGGTTGTTATAATAGAACTTTGAACAATCATATCACTCCGTGCTTTCCCCAACAAATTTTTATAAATGGAGTCAGTAAAGTGGTTTGCAAGGCAAAGGCACTTGGCACCAAACCCGATAACTTGAGTATGATCACTGGAGCCCACATGACAGAGGAGGAAACTAACTTCAAGTTGTTCTCTGACCTCAAAATGGTAGCCAAAGGACACGCACACAAGAACACACACTAAATAATGCCAAAGAAATGTGTGTGAGTGTAGGGGAAACACACTGGAGGTGCAACTCAATGGGTAAAAGTGTTTGTCTACTATGCACAGGCCTCAGGTTCAATCCCCGGCACCACATAAAACCAGGCATGGTTTTACACACCTCCGTAATCCCAACCCCTGGAAGGCAGAGGCAGGAGGATGAAAAGCTCATCAGGAGGATCAGAAGGACCATCCTTATGTACATGTGACCCTTCTTTTTATAGGTATTGTATTATTTGTTGTTGTTTATGGCAAACTGTCACAAAAGAGTCATATGAAATGACTGAGGAAGAAACTGCAGGAAACTTAAGTGTAGTGTACACAACCCTCTGACAGCCTTCCACTTACCACTTCTGTTATTAAAGAAAACTTACTTAATGACACCAGGGAGATGAATTTCCCATCCACACGTGCAGTAAAATTTGGTTTAACAGATTTTTCTTCTTTTCCAAATAAGAGTGTGTATT